ATATATATATATATATATATATATATGTGTGTGTGTGTGTGCAATTTAGTGAGTGTAGTCTGTGTTCATTTAGTCATTGAACTGAGCACATAGCTAGGAGTAGCTGTCAACCATTGGAGGTTTGATAAAGAAAATTACCATTTCATTATATCACGGTGTCGACACAGAATACGAATCAAACATATACCCATAATCACCAAGACTTTACAATGAATTCTGTCGCTCGCTTTCAGTACGCAAAATAAACCCACAGAGCTGACTTTGTGAAATTGGAAAACACATACACTCACTTCCTCCTCTAACTTGCTGGGTTCTCATTTCGTTTTCTCCTCTACATGTCCCATAGTTTTGAAAGAGATATAAATATAGGTTGAAGGTCAAAAGTCTGAATGTTTAGGGATACGAAGACTATAGTTTTAGATTTTTGCGAAGTTGAAGGAGAATAAAGCCAACAGTTGTTCCGGTAAACATTACCCCCATCGTCTGTTATACTTTTCTCCACGTATTATTTGGTGTTTATAAAAAAAAAAAAGCACAGAGGAAAGAAAAACAAAAAAGTGACGTAATAGAATCGTGATATTGCATTTAATTGTCGTGAAATAAAACCTTGCTGATGTCTCTTGTTTCGTTAAAGTATTGCCTGTTTTGTTCTGCGCGGTTTTTATATCTGTAGATATAGTGTTGATACATCAGTTATTTATTACCAGACCTGTCTGCTCACTTTCAGATGTCTCTTGTTTCGTTAAAGTATTGCCTGATTTGTTCTGCGCGGTTTTTATATCTGTAGATATGGTGTTGATACATCAGTTATTTATTATCAGACCTGTCTGCTCACTTTCAGATGTCTCTTGTTTCGTTAAAGTATTGCCTGTTTTGTTCTGCGCGGTTTTTATATCTGTAGATATAGTGTTGATACATCAGTTATTTATTACCAGACCTGTCTGCTCATTTAATGCTTCAAATTACCATAATTTGTTCGATTTAACTTACCCCTATTATTAGTAGTATTATTTTCTTTTAAGGCACTGTTTACGCATTTTAGAAACCTGCACTGTATTTAACTGATTATAACATACTTGTGTAATATCAACATGGTAACAAGTTTATCTTTGGAGTGTCAACTACTTCGCGTACCGTCGTTTTGATCTTTCTGTTTATGACTGACGTTTTTTGCTTTGACGGGCGTACTACTATTTTTGATTATTAAATTATATTTTATAGGTTCTTCTTGATAAACGTTGCTGTTTCTGTTCAAACTTATTTATTTATGTATGTGTTTGTGTCTAATACGACGAATATGAAACTGCAACTTTAACATTTTTTATTTTATTCGTACTAATTTAGAAGATAATTCGACAAGAGTCTTACATTGAACATTTCTTTAGAATGTGGAGTACATTTCACAGTTTCTGTACTGGGTGTTGTAGTGAAAAGAAATGATTCCCAGCAGTATCAGGAAACTCAACGTTTAGGCTTAGGAATCCCTAACTAAGAACAGCTGGATAAAGGGAGGGAAACCAGTCAGTAGAACCCGTTGTCTACGCGACTGTTACTAGCTGAATAGTAGAATTTGACTGTCGCAGTCATAACACCCCCCTAGTTGAAGGTTCACAGTGTGGTCAGCGGCATATTTTGGCTCGAACCTTGTCGTTCTGCGTTCCGGTACGCTAATTAATAAGCCTCGCCCGGCTCATTACTCTGCAGTTCCTTGACTTGTACTCTTCAACCAGGACCACCTTGATCATACTTTCGTATCTTTTAAACCTTTGGAACACGTTCTGATTTGTTTTACTGTAAATTATAAGCATCTTGTATAAACACACACATATGACCGAAAAACGATATCTGCTGTTATCAACCACAAGCTATCGATAACAAACGTCTTCTTACGGTGGAAAACCGAATGTATAAAATAAAGTTTGTAATATTAACAAGTTTGTTCGTTGCTGAAAAACAAGAACAAAAAAATCTTTATCGTTTTCCTTTCTTTTGGAAAGAAACTATTACAAGCCCAACTAAGATAAATTATATTTATTATATGTACATTACAATAATAAATCGGTCAGCAGC